ACTTGGAAGGAAGGGCAAAGTCCTTATTTCTGAGCATACCCATGGGGGTAAGGCAGCAAGGCTTTGATAGAGTAGTGGGGGAGATGGCTTCACTACTGGCCTGTGACTCCACAGCAGCTAGGTTAAAGGCGCTGACAGCCTTAAGGAACATGCGCTTAAGGCCAGGCCAGGAGGTTGCAGACTTCTGTGTCGCCCTCGAGAACCTAGCAAGGAAGGCCAATCCTCAATGTACCATTGAGGAAAGATCGATGGAGTATGCACAGATTCTACTGGAGAATCTGACATCATGGCCGGAATACGTACAGCTGGTGGGAACCCTACACCAGGTGGACCCAGCTGAGGCATATAACAGGATAAAGGAAGTTGCGATTGAGATCGAGCAATCGCGAAGGTTCTGCAAATTTGAGAGAAGGAGTGAACAGCAAGCTCCGTCCTGGAGGAAAGCAAGTAGAAATGAAGGCTATGTGCCAGCCATGACCCAAAGTCGAAGCAGCTCAGCGGAGAGAGGCGAAAGGGAAGTTGGCATGAGAAGGCAGGAGCCAACGAGTAGCTCGAGCGCCTATGATGAGTATCAGGAAGAGAAACAGTGCTTCAATTGTGGTCACTTCGGACATGTGATAAGAGATTGCAAGTACAGGAAGAGGGAGAATGAAAGCACTATCAAGACTTTGAATGGAGTGACATCAATGGTAAGGAGGAGCCGGAACATGGTCGTAAAGAGCTCCCAATCCAACGCATACGGAATTGTTGGCGGGATTACATTGACTCAAGCGAGAATGTTGGGAAGAAGGGTTTCGACACTTCTAGACACGGGCTCAGAGATAAGTATACTACCCGTGAGCGTGCTTATAGAAGCGAGGAACAGTGGGTACGATGTCAAGCCACTTCAGACTTTCGACATTGTAGAAGGAAGCATATACGATGCATCCAACCATGTGATGAGCTTTCTTGGAGGTGTAAAAGTGGAAGTAGAACTAGAAGGAGGATGCAAGAAGGAAGTGGCTTTTCATGTTTCGGACGATACTAAAGAGGAAGTACTCATTGGCACAAATGCATTGAAGGATCTAGGAGTGGAAGTGGTGATACACAAGAAGCCTGAAGTCAAAGTAAATGCAAAGGATAGGATGGCGCCTCCACATAAGAGAAACACCGCCTCAGTAAGAGCCAAGATCCAGCAAGGTACTATAACTGTGAACAGATCTATCTCAGAGAAGGACAGATCTGTAACTGTCAACAAGAAAACCTTCATTGAGAGAAAAAGAGATGTCAAAGCAGACAAAGGAATCTGCCCAGAGGAAGCTTGTGAGCACAAACGGAAGAAGTCGACATGTAGGAAGGGCAGCAAGAATCAAACCCCTTCCAGAAGTGATCGGAAAATGTGCGGAGAGGCACAGAAGAGAGTCAAGATTCAGAAGACAAGCAGTAAGAAAGGACAAAGTTCTGAGAAAGAACGTCCTGTTGCGTTTATTGCACCGAGATGTGCAACATCATTTGAGGAAGTTGAGTTGAAACAGTGTGGAGTACTGACCAAGGTGGCAGTATCATTCAGTCAACTCAAAGAAGCGTTGAAATATTTGAAGAACTGTCGTATGTGGATCATAGTATGGCCCATGAACCCAAGAAGGGAGGATGAGGCTATCATTGAAACATTGCGGATATGCAAGAAGTACCTCGAAGAAGGAGGAAAAATTGTATCCGTGTGGCCGCCACCATTGTTCAAGAAGATTGGTATGTGGAAAAATAAGTCAAAAGTGTGGACGGTGATTGAATCAGTACTGAAAAGATGGGCAAACCCAAATCAGTTGTTCACGTTGGATCCCTCAAGGACAGAAATTGGGAACGTGAACAGAGAAGCAGATGGACCCCAAAAATTCTTTTCAGGTATACGACACGCATTTCAGGGACGGATATGCGCGCTACCACTACAACGACATCCGCAGGAGCGTTCCCGGTGCAAAGCTCAGCAAGTTGCAGCAGCCGCCGAGGACGTCGGCTCCCCGGAGGGGAGGGATGTCAGAGGGCGCGGATCACCGACCTACCGATCTTCAGTGGCGGGAAGAAAAGCCCGCGCTGACCCCTTCGGCAGGGTATAAATACCGGGAGTCAGGGGGAGTCTCAGAGTCCGCGTTGGAGAAGCGCTAGAGGGAGCTAACTCCGTCGAAGAGAGGCGGAACTCCCCCTTAGATAGAGAGTAGTAACTAGTAGCCTGCCGAAGTGGTCAAGAGGGTAAAGCCCGCTGTTTCGTTGTTAAGCTTGTTCAAGTTACGCATTGTTGTTCATTGTTGTTTGTTGCCGTTTATCTGAGATAAATTGTTAGTCGTTCATTCCGTGTTGTCTATCGATCCGGTTGAAACCTTCATACCACTAGACACCCCCGGTTACACGTATAAATTGTTAGGAACCGTGGGTGGTTTGAAAAGGGTGAATCAAATGTTTAGAAACGTAGAGTTGTGGTAAGGGAAAAAATCAACTCGAAAAATGTCAATGCATAAGTTACATCATACTATTAGGCTGTCCCGAAACTTTTGTCGCTTTTTTTGAAATTTTGTAACTTTCTTCCACTTCGACGGATTTGCTTCTTTTTCACTGTGTTGGAAAGAAGAAGTCTTCCTCTTTGTACGATCTCTCGACAAGTTTCTGCTATACAAAGACTGCATTGCAGAGATAAAAATGGAAAAGAAGACCACTTGAGCTTTGACCATTTTCAGATAAATCGCCAAAAATCTGGAACGCTGCAGAAAATTCTGAAACTGCCAGCGCATGAGTTTTATTACCTAATCTCTACATCAGAGAAAAAAATTGGGCTGTTTTGACGTCTGTGTGAAAAGTTGTAATTTTTTAGTTTACAGTTGAGAACGGCAAAATTGATTAATTTGTCGCTTCTCTCGAAAATCATAGCTTTTCATTGGGACATCCAAAAAGCACCAATTTTTCTTCAGATGCAAAGAGTAAGTCATAAAACTTATATACTAACAGTTTCAGGTTTTTCTGGGGCGTTTCAGATTTTTGCGACCTAACTTAAAATGGTCAAAGCTCAACTGGTCTTGTCCTTTCCATTTTTATCTCTGCAGTGAATGTATAATCGAAGCTCCTGAGATGCCTCCACAAAGGTGAAGATTTCCTCTTTCTAATGAAATTGGAAAGAAGCAAATCTGTTGAGATAGCAAAAAGTTACAAATTTTTAAAAATGAAACGACAAAACTTTTGGGACAACCTAACACATTTCATAGGAATCATTAAAGTGTCATCTTTTGAAAACTCACAAGGGGAGTTTGCTCAGTCTAAGTGGCCTTTTGAATGGGATGTATACCATACGGGGCTCGGCTTACAAACAAGCTGGATATCGTTTTTGGGACAAAAAGCAAAGGGGTTTCGTTTTTGTGGCCGAAAAGACACAATACGACGTTTTTTTGGTCGACATTTCGTTTTCTGGAGGCTTTTTAGGGATTATAGTCTAGGATCAGAGAGGACTCCGTAAAAACTCTCAAAAGTCAAGGGGTACATTGTTTTCTACATTTTCAACTAGCCACCTCGTGCGAGCGCTGATACCATATTGAAGGGCATGAAACACTGATTCCAAACTTGCCTTCCTTATTTGCAGAACGCTCAATGACAAGGAGTTATGAGCCTTTTTTGGAGAAAAAATTGAATGTGCATTTTGGATAAAATGAGTGCCTAAAATCTTATTAGCCTTCAAATAATGCAAGTGCGACATATTTTCTAAAATGAGGCGCCGCTAGATCAGATCGGACACAGGTTCGATCCCCGCCCCTGGGCCAACCAAGCCCTCTACCCACCGGGGCCAGTAAGTTGACTTACCAGATAAATCTGGGAGGATAAAAGCACTGACTTGAAAAGGGCTGGGTCCAGCAAGTCACTGTAAAAAAATTCAAAGCACGCATACAATTGCCTCTTCGACTTTGAAGTAGTGTGCGTTCGGCGCATGCCCGCTGAATTGTAGAGGCCGAATCCTTTATCCTTTTACTAATTGTTTTCAAATTAAGTGCTCTGATGACCACTACTGCTCCACTGAAGAGCTAGAAAGAATATTACGGCCATTTGTCCTACTTGCACATTCAATTTTTTGCTCGAATAAGCGCTCATAACTCCTCGTCCATAGAAGTTATTACAGTTTACCTAGAATACTTTGAAAGGAAGCATCATAGTACAGCGGAAATTTCATATTTCAAGTCTACGGCTTCCATTACATAGCAAAAGGAATTTTGGCTTGTATGGTTCTGTTTCGAGGCAGAAAATGGCCTTTAATTGCCTAAAATCATTGTCAAATTTCCTACCGTAATCTTGCAGTAACGAAGAGCGAATGGTGATTTGCTCCATACTATAAATCTGAGTTGAACCTCGCTTTACAGAATGGTGTCTCAAGCTCGGCGAAAGACATGAAAGCAAGGGAGTTACCAAAGACCAAACAGTGTTAACATTATTTGGGACACCCTGTACATTCGTGAACACCATATGATTATCTGTACATAATTAGAAGCGAAATTTCTTTTTTGAATCTATATTGAAGAAAAACGATTTTATTGAGAGAAAATGGCTTAATACGCAAAACTAATGGATCTTCTCAATATATTTTGCAGACATAGTTACTACAGAGACCATCAATACCTCTGCTGTTGCTTGAATCTCTACTCCACAAGCCTATACTATAACAAAATTTTGTTCGCGAAAGTCTCATTTTTGACCTACAAGCAATTTGGGATTACTACTTTCCGTTTCATTTCCATTTTCAATTGTTCCTCTTTAATCTTCCGGATTCTGCTACCTCAAGTCGGATTATAAAAACCAGTACTACAATATTGTTCCAGGTAACCTTCCTGAAGAGAATATAGAAAAAGGGACTCCCTTTGTTTTTCTCATTTCCAACTTCGTTCTTCCCATTTATTTCATTCAGAAGATCTTATTTCACGGATTTCGCAGTTATTTGATCATTTGGGCAGGGGGGGGGGAGAGCAAATGAAATATCCGAGACGTCGAGAGAGATGTCATATGGCTCAGGAGGAGCAGAGTGTGATGTGCACACGGCGGAGGAGGTCCACAATCGATATCAACCACCGAAAGCCCCTGAAGCAAAATGTGACTGCCAAATTTTTGAGAAAATCGCTCAGCCCTCATTCAGCATCAGTTATTTCACTGCTTTGTCATTTTTCTCAACATTTAGTGACGGAAAATCTCGAAATTACCATCCACTTGCCTTCCTGTTTCTTAAAAATGCGGAACGTTTTTTTTTGCTGCCGAATTCTCAAAAACGTCAGCAACGTTTACATATTTGTGCTTTTAAATGTTCTGAAGTTTTTATGACACCATTTTTTTTTCAAGATTGTTACCAGTGAATCCGTCCAACTTTTTTTTGCAGATGAACAATTGCTCAACTACATATTCTGCACGATTACGTAGCCGAATGAAGCAGCCCGTCTATACGTCAGATAAAAGGGCGAAATTCACGCAAAGGGAAAGCAAAAAGTAAGTGATGATTATCTTTTCTACATTGTATTGTTGAACACTATCTTGTAAAATAGTCCAAAATTTAGAGCTGAGAGAAGATAGATACACAAATCTGAAATTAATTTATTGTTCATTTTTCCTTTCCATTTTCATCTGTACCTAATTAACCATTTGATCAAATGGTCTAAAAAATATTTTATGATTTACATCACTCCAAATGTTGAATACTATGGTACGCGCCATACTTGGTCCGCTTGATCCACTTCGCTATTGGTCAGTTTGCTGATTTGACCAATAGCGAATGGGATGAAGCACATCAAGTGTGGCGCGTGCCTATGAAATACATTTTTTTTATGAGTTTAAGCGAAGCGTAAGGTCAGTTTAGCTCCAAAAGTGAGAGCAAGCATTGCGAGTCCTTCTTGGCAGTTTAAGGCTACTTTTTCTATCTTGCATATGTTCGGAAATCTGCTTGCAATTATGATAATTTTCTGAAAACAAATGAAGTTCAGACACTAAGTCTTGAACTCAGTAATTTGTACAGCTAATAAATCAAGCTTCTTTTTTTTAAAAATCACTTCTTTTAGTATTTCTTCAGGTATATTTGATGTCTACCATAGAAACTCATATTATGTGCTGAACTAATTTTCGCTTTGCTCATATTAACACTTGAATCACTGCGTAGAATACACTCAACGGCTCCATTTTGCATTCTTTTTTGATTATTATCCAGAAATCTTGCCGAAGTCTTGAGGCGTTTCCCAGATTTCAACACCTTGGGCAGAATATGTTGATTATCATCTCATTTCTAACTATCTGAATCCATACTACGCGCGACAGCTAGCGATGCTCTTACTTATAACTGTTCAGTGAGACTTATAGCGGGAAACATTTTAGGAGCGTGTACTTAATTAATACACATCCAATCATTGAAAGAGACAAGGAAAGAAGGAGAAATCACTGAAAATGAGCAAGTCCTGACTTAATAGTTCGTCAATTAGCGGGGCAGTACTCATATTAAGTTACAAACGACTCAACGATTCCTTGAACATAACGATTATAGAAAGTAATACAATCTTGGTGTTTCCATTAACACTACATAAGTTTGCTGAGAAACAAAGCGAACCCAAGCGTATATTACAGAGAAAGCAAAATCTATTTTGAAGTAAATCAAGTAAATCAAGCTTCTAGAACAATAAAATTACCTCCTTTAGTGGTTCTTTAAGGATAATTTGATGTCTACCATAAAATTCTCATTTATTTATTTTTTATTAGATACGTTCACCAATAAAAATACAACGGGCTTTTCATCGACAATTCACTATCCAAAGTAACGTGAAGCGTAGGGATAGAAGTATACCGAAGTATCTCATTTTCGCTGAAACCAGAATAAATTCAACAGATTACGATGGCTTAGACGTTACCAGTCTATTCAGATAAATTTTATAATCACTACCTGGTAAAGACCCAACTGCTATTTTTATTCTTTTGTCGATATTCCGTGGCTGCTGTAGCTAGTCTAGTTTATTTATAGAACGCGGCATTTTTCGACCGCATTTATATTGTATTTTGAAGTAAATCAGTAGTTTGATGTTGACTAGCTTCTCCTTCTAATACTTGCAACTTACAGTCAATTTTTGGCAATTCTGGCCTTGCAACTAGAACTCGGGCTAGTTTTTTCAAAATAGTTGTGTGAATTGCTAGAAAGACTCAAAGACACATTTTACCAATAAACTGTGCAACCTCCCAAGAAATCATTTCAGGTGGATACGGTTTGTAACAGTGCTTGGCTACATATTTTTCGTTTCTCTACCAGCCATCTCTCTAAGCATTTATTATGTCTATATATGGGATCCAGGATACATCAATAAGGTGGATTTTTTTATTAGGCTCTTATAGGATTGTTTGATTGTAATGTTTTCCTATTTAGTTCCCACCAGAGGTGTTCAACAGCTCTAATAACCCTGTATATATTGCTCCAGTAGTTCCCATTCGCCCGGAAAGAGATACTTCAAACTCTCAAAGGCCATCTGGCTTAGGTGCGGTTCACGACGAGGTCGTCGAGCAGCTGTGCCCGAATTGCAAACGTCAAAATGTTGACCTCGCAACTATTCTGGCAGAAGGTAGGTCAGAAGTATTGATCGCTGTGGTTTCTTTAAATGAAAAGGGAGTGTATATATAAACTTTTCGTCCTTAGACAGTCATAACAAATTTTTAGATGAATGAGTCGTCGCAAAGACATTTTGTAGCTAAAACCTTTCTTCTAAAAGATCGTTCGTTCCAGTTGTTCAAAGTTTTAAAACAGAATGATCTCTGTTTATATCATACAGGGTGTCCCAAAAAATGTGCATACTGTTTGATTGTAAATAACTCTCTTGTAATGAAGTGTTTCAAGAAGCTTCAGGCACCGTTTTGTAAAGCGAGGTTAAACTTAGATTTACAGCTAGAGCGAATCATCGATCGCTCTTCATTACTGTAGAATTACGGTAAGAACTTTCAGCATATGGATTTAATGTGAAATTTACCACCTAATAAAATTTTTTTCAAAAAATCTGAAAAATCGTGTATTAGGGTTTTCACGCGTGCTGATTCCATCTAACAACTTTTTACGAGTGTCTTCAACTTTTTTGACGGTGTAATTGCATTTCTGACAAATAGTGGGAACTAAGTTATTACGATTTACCGGGGATAACTTGGGAAAGAAGCATCACAATAAAATGGGTATTTCAAATTCGAAATCAGCGGCTTTCATTAACATAGTATAAGAGTTTTTGGCTTGTTTGGTTCTTTACCGAGGCAGAATTTAGCCTCCAAAGGCCTAAAATCCTTGTCGAAGTTCTTACCGTAATCCTACAGTAATGAAGGGTGATAGATGATTCGCTCCATACTGCAAATCTAAGCTTAACCTCGCTCTACAAAACGGGACCTAAAGCTTCTCGAAACACTTCATTACAAGGAAGTTATTTGCAATCAAACAGTACGCACATTTTTTTGGAACACCCTGTATATGTTCCATAGGGTGTTACAACGAAAAAATCATAAACATACATTTTGTAAGCACTCCAATATATCATCCAAAACAGCAAACTTGTAAGAGTTTCCAAATGAATTGACCCAAAATTAACCCTTTTTGGAAAACTAGAAATCTGAGATTGAATGAATCAGCCAAAAACTGATGTTTTTGAAACTTAAGCCCATGGACTTTTCCGCGAAAGGCAAGAAAATCGGAAAAAGATAAAAAAGTCTTCTGAGCCTACTTCTCCCCACATAATATTTGGGCATTTATCAATCCTTATAGTCATTTGAATTTTGGTCTCTGGAAAAGATCAGTGCTCAGCAGCTGTCTAATAATGGCAGAAACGGTTGGTAGCCTGTTTTTGGACGTGGTTTACTTCAAAATACTAGTGGCCTCAGCGTTTCAAAATCGAATTTCCTATGTCAAGCACAGAGGAAGCAAAATCAGCATCGAGAAGTGCAAAAAGTTACGTACATAGCTTTCATAGGAGAATTTGAAATCACTACCTAAATCATTGAAAAAGTTTTTTTTTGTTTTTAAATCGAATTGATTTTGTGCTATAGTGTAAATCTGCTTTTGTCGAGAGCCTAACGCTACCTTTTGATACCTCGAAGACAAAAAATTTTGAATGTTTAACTTCAGTAATCGTAGTTTCGAAAGGAATTTTGAGCACGATTTGAAAAACCAAATCCTTATCTATTTTGAACTTTTTACTCAAATAAAAGTTTAACTTTGCAACAATGTCGAAATGGCGGCAGAGACTAAGCTATCCAAAGCTCAGTAGATTTTGCGCACCAAAAATTTCGTATCTGCAAAGCATTTTCTATATGTTATTACTTTTTGGTATCATCTCAGAATTTGACAACAATTTTGATGTTACCTGCAAAACTTTCAAAAATTGTTTGAATTATATTAGGTGTCATACAAATTCTCACACCATTTTCGGTAAATTTCAGATATTTGAAAGGCTCTATTTATTTATTCTACTTTGCAGAGGAATTTACTAATGTATTACTGGCTGTTGCGCTTTTTATTGAATCATTTCCTTTCGATCATTTTTGGCACTGTTCTTGATATTTACGACCTCATGGAGTCAAATGATACAAAGTCGCTCACTTAGAAAATGAGAATTGCAAATTTATGTAGAGGGTTTTTTAGGAGCTTTCACGAAAAATCGAAGTTTAAGTAATTTCTTATTTCACTTTGATCACTGAAATATGCTGTTTTTAGAAAGCAACTCAAATGCTATTGTATAGATGATTCCAAATTTCAAATAAAAGCAAGTTCTGCTAATATCATAAATCCATTGTTTCTCGAGAAAGAGCTACAATCTCTAGAAAAATGACTGTGCTAGAAAAACTACAACTATGCAGCAACTTGGAAGCTTTCTTGTTTTTTTTTAAACTTTAAAATCACTGAGTGGAGGGGCATTTCATTTCCGGCACTTATTCTTCATTTTACATCGTAATAGGAAGATTTATTTTATTGCTCGTTTCAGGCACAAAATCCATGGAAACATCTGTTGAATCGTCCAACACTCCTACACCAGGGCCGGATCTTCGCATAAGCACCTGAACCCAATTCCTTTCAAGAATTTACTTCACCTATTGTAAAATACATATTTCAGCACTGGTTTGTTCCTTCTATAATAATTGGTGCTACGAGTAGTAGAACATAATCTCGCTATTTTACGTCACTTCACATGATACTAATTGTTCCAACTCTGAAAAAAGTTCAAAATTTATTTTATTTTTCGAATTTTTATTGAAATGTGTATAGACATAATAAACAGTGGATAATAAAATTCATGGTACACACCGTACATAAAAACATATGGCACAGATAATAAGATCCAAAGACCCGTAATACAGCGACTAGACGTCGTTACAAAATCAGAAGTGGAGGCACAATACATGAGGCAAGATAATGTGTAGGAACTAGTGGTATTTGTACAGTCGAAAGGATTTGGAAAGTGTTGAACATTCTGTACTCAGAGGAATTAGTGGACATCTGATAAATCAGTTACATTGTTCATCATTCTTGAAAAGCTGCTCTAATCAGAGCCGGCACAAGGATAAATCAAAAGTTCCAAGGCAATGTCGGCTCCTTACGCCTTGATTTTTTTCATCTCCCAGTATACCCTTTGATTCAACTGACTTGACCGCTGGAAGGCGGAGCGTCATGATCTAATTAAGGCTAGGTAATGATCAGAAAGCAAGCGCGCGAGAGAGACACAGATTGTTTCGCGGGCCTAGCAACCTTGATTAGGTCACAAAGCCCCGCCTTCCAAGCGCCAAGCCAGTTGAATCAAATGTTATATCCTTTGCATGTTTTTGTAGGTAGATTTTCAGCCTGCTATAAGCTACTCTCGTACCGAACTATATCGATCTATTTGTAACTAATTCTGTAATTTTGATAAATGCATCAAGCACAAAGCTGTGTTCTAAATGTTGTGTTTGGCGCTGTCGATGAAAAGCATTTACCGACTTTTACGTAGCAAAAAGCAAATGTATTCCGAAAAAAAATTTTCTGATAAAATTTGGAATCGATGATTTCTGTACTTAATACATGAGCGGCTTATTCTTGACTCTTTCGAGAAATGGCAACAAATGAAGAAGTATAGGCTGCTGCATGACGAAGGCGCAATATCTTCGGGCGCGAACGCAGCTTTATTAGCCGCAGAGCGCATGGTGCGGGATCTATAACGGTGAGGATACGCACGCGTCGCGTCTGCGCACGCTCAACTAATATTGCCATTGCGCCTTCGTCATGCAGCAGCCTTTATGCAATTTTGCACTGCTAGACATCTTGAAGATAATAGCATTTCCTTGAAGTTTTGAGGCAAACAATCAGTTATGTGTTGGAAAGCCTTTCACGAAATTGCTTTGCTTTTGTTACAATTATTCCCCCATGACAAGCAAAGCCTTCCTCCGAAACGACCATCTGAAACAAAGATGTGGCCGTTTCGGTGACTCTGTGGAATTTCTAACACCTCTGGACGATTAGGTGGAGAAAATTAATATTGGAATTAGGTGGAGTGAAATTAGCAGACGTCTACACAAACTCGATCTTTCCAAAACTTGGTGACTCGTTGTCGGCGTTGTTGACGAGCGACTCAGCGGTAAGTTGTGAATTCTCAATCAACGTCAATCTCCTTGACATAAGCTTTTGTGTCCAGATTTGTGCTGAAAATTGGGATTTGACATTTTCAGCGCAGTCGAACTCTTTTTGCACAAAACTTACAGATAAATTGGAACATTTCCTTCCTGAGCAGTGGCTGACACGTTATATAGATTGGCAAACGTAAGCACGATGCCACAATTGTCAGCAACGAGATCGCGTCCACTGACATGACATAGAAAGGGAGAACAGGCCTAAAAATGGTCCTTTCAGTTTGAAAAAATTTTCCCGAAATTTTCTCAATACTCACTCCGAGAAAAGGCTAGCACTGTCGAGATATTCCCATATGGTAATTATGACAGAAAGTAGATTACTGATCAAGTATGTGAAGACAATCATAACCAGCGTGCGGGTAGCGGCACGAATACGAGCCTAAATGATAGGAGCATAAGTGTCTTACTGTTAGCAAGCTTTGGTATCTTAAGCTTTTGAAAAATGTTGTCCACAAGCGGTCAATTCGTAAACAATGAGAAAAATTTGCCATTTGAATCAGCCCCTTGTTGCAAAAGTACAGATATTATTCTAAATTTTTGCTCAAAAACGGTAGACTTTCTCTATTTAATTATTGTCAAAAGCAACTTCCAAGGATGTTTTAACCATTACCCGGCCGGTTAAAAAAAATAAAGTATCTTTCTAGCCCACTCTAGCCTCATCACCCGTGATAGAGATTGGTGGATGTTGAACAATTTTATACATTTCTTCATAGGATGTGAGATTTCTTGCATTTTTATCAGTTATTTACTGTTACTCACAGTTACTGACAGCATAGGTGATATTATTTGAGCTGGCTATTGCCGTTCAAATTGTATGGAACTTTATCGTATTTGTAAATACATCAACTTTCTGAGAAATGTTTCCTTATTCTCCGGATACCTACTTTAAAATCGTCAACAATCGTTTTCACATTGTCACCGATGGCTTCAAAACTCAAAAAAGATATTGTATCCAGCCCCCAAACGAATAGAAATGTGGCTAGATTTGAAAAGAAATTTAAATTTTTCCCGTAATCTCTATATCCGCGCGTTTCACAATGTTTCAATATGCCCGAAAAACGCGGACAGTGCAACTTTCAAGAAAGCCTCTTTTTTGATTTTTAGGTTCCTTATGTATTCTGATTGACTTTATCAATCAATGAAATGGAACACAAACCTTCTTTTGCTTGACAATTTGCTTGTCTTGAACGAGTGACCCAGACTTCAGTATTAGCGAGTGTTCCTGCAGCCTGCAAACAAAAGATGAAGTTTTGTAGCAGATTGCTAAACATTCACATATAGTATTTCGTAAACTGTTTTGTACGAATGGCAAACACAAAGACCATCTTTGCTGTGTCTTTCAGCCCCATTTCTACGGCTTCATTTGTATAAGATCTTCATGCCAGAAGTCTTAACATGCATTGCTTCACAAAAAATGCAAAGATACAAAGAATTTTTTCGCATGGCATCATCTCGCTTCCCAAAGCTGACTCGCTAATGAGTGACACTGATTTTTTAAGTTCATTCACTCTCGGATTTGCGTAAAGCGCAGTGGAGCAAAAACAATGAAGTCGAGAAGAACGAAAATTACAAATTTCAGTTTTTATAGAAATGAATTTGGTTTATTACAGATTATTGACTCAATGCGTTCGTTGATTGTCTATGTTCGACAAAAGCACGGCTTACTACAGAATAACTATAATATACTAACCTGTAAATAAGTCCAGCGTTCAGATAGAGCACTATAAAGAAGGGTGCAAGAATTGTGAATACATTTCTGAAAGCAAATCAATTATTTGAACAAGAAATTTCAAAATCTGTAGGTTTTCGTGAACAATTCATAATGTACATCAAAGATTAACCAAATGAAATCAAACTTAGATTTTGAGAGCAATGTTTTGTATTGTAACCTTTAATTCAACTGGCTTGGCGTCTGAAAGGCGCTTTGTGACCTAAATAAGTCCGCTCGCGCCCGCAACGCAGAGTCTGCGTCTCTTCCTCGCGTATGCTCTCTGGTCATTACCTAGCTTCAATTAAGTCAAGAAGCCCCGCCTTCCAACCGCCAAGCAGTTAAATCGAGAAATCGAAATCTTACAATTTCTTTTTTGGAGTAAATTTTAGATTAGAGGCATAAGAGGTGCAAAGATGATAAAGGTACAAGAATAGGATTTCAAAGATTCCTACATGGCAATCATATTAAATACGAAGCACACACTCCCAGTTATTCAAAAAAAATTAGTTTCCATTTAGCTTTCTGGTGTTCAATTTGACCCATGACTTTAGAGTTTTTTTCTCAAATAGACAATGTTCCTCTATTCCTTGATTTGTCCTAGGAACTAACCTAAAGTAAAATCGCCATATTTTATTGAAGAGCTCATGCTTGATGACAAGACTAGATGGCTCAAGGTACCATTCTCCTACCGTACCAGGACAGTCTGGATTTCTTGCGACCTGCAAATTTTCCCCTTTATCATAGTTTGCAACATTGAATTATACTTCCACAAACTTCACTCTATGATTTTCATGTCAACATAATTGAAACAACGTACCGTAATCTCCTTTAAGATTGTCCCCTTGCTTATGACTCCACACATCACTGCTACAAAAACAATCGCTTTGCGATGATTTTGCAGAAACTTCACTTTATCGCTGTTTACAGTAATACAGTACCTAGAACAGATAATTTCGACACATGATTCATGACTGAAGCAAACTTGTTGCTTACCTCTCAATTGCTGCAAAAATGATCAAAAATGAAGATGCAGTTTGTGCAATATGAGAAACGGTCAACATTGGCACCATATACATCACCCTGCAAATAATTTTTGTTAACAAAAAATGAATTTTCGGATTACTTTAAACTAAGCCTACAAAAAAACAGAAGCTGTAAAACAAATATTTTCTATGTTTCTTATCTCAATATATATTCGCAATTTCAAAAATAACAAGCAAGATTCTCTAAAACAAATTCCATTATGGTCTTCAAAAAAAGAAAAAAATTATCAAAAATGTTGTCGCAATCTTCTCATGAATACTTCGTAAGCTTTGCTATAATTTTCCTGGGAAGTTTGAAGCTCCGCTTATGACTTCCTAACAAAAATATGTTTTTTCATTTCCCTCTTTGCTATTTCATCCTTTGAAGTTTTTAGAAAAATTTACAGTCCCTTGCACTCAAGTCAAACGTTTCAAGCTGTGTAATTCGGGTGTTAGGCACATTTACGATGAAACTACGGATGTACGAGAGAACAACAGCTGTTCCAGGTGTGGTGGCCATCAAACATATGTAGGAATTTTGGTCGCAAGAAGCTATCAAATACAATACACTTCCTATTTTAAACTGAACGTTTTGCAGTCGAAGAATATGGTAATAGCCAGAATTCTATTGAAAAATGATGTAATTTGCTAGAAGCTACGTCAAAAGGGTGCCCACACAAATGGTTATGTGATGCCATAAAAACTTCAACTTTGAGGAAACGGTCGCTTTGCCTCTCAAAAAATTGCTATCACAAATTATTGGCACATTCTAATTCATAGCATTTACTGCAACCTAGAAAGTTTCTCAATAATTGGATTCGGCGGGCATATGGATGAATATGATTGCCGACCAAAGTTTAGAAGAAGTTTCTCAACAATAAGGAGCGGATTTGGTGAGAAGAAAAAATGTCGTAGAAAATAAATTGGAAAGGTTTACTACTGCACGGTTCCAAAGAAGAAAATTTGTTGTACAATTTCCTAGGAGTGGGGGAACATGCTCCAGCAAAAATTTTTAAAATTAGAGAACAAAAGCGCCGAAAAAGTAGTCATAAGCGACAAAACCTCATACTAATTGATGTCGCTTTTATTAATGTTCTATTTTTTTCAAATAAAGCCTAAGTCTTTGCAATGTTTCTTCGAGCTCAATCCATTTTCTTCGAAAAAATCCTCAAGATATGCCTTGCAATTTCTTATCGAAATTCAATTAGAAAATTCATTAACTTACCAGATAGCTTTGAGCGTATAGCTGACTGTCCAATTAATGAGCACTTTGACTGAAATCACTGCTATATAAGAAATTCCCATGAAAACATCGAACATCGCCAGCAGCAGCAAGTACAGATTATAGGAATTTCTGAAAGTAGACAAAAATTAGTAAATTTGGGGATTGATTTGGTGCCGCTGCGGTGTCGACAACACTTGCGCGTGAAAAATGGCCGTGGTTTGCAGAACTCAGAAACATGAGCGCTCTATGGTCATCACTTACGCGCAAATGTTGTCAGTACCGCATTTGCACCATATTAAGCCACAGATATACTCAGATAAGGTATTATTGAACCCTCTGAATTTCTGCAATGTTTTATCTACATGATTTTACCCTTTCCTCCCCTTTCTTCAAATTCAAATTTTTGCAGCATCTCAACCTAGTCTAATGGATGCTTCCCCCGTCAATAATTCAATGAATTCATGAGTTCAAGCTTCTAAATTCTGTCAAAGCGGATTGTTGTCAGTAAGTAGCTATAAGTACAAATGGCTTCAAGGACATAAGAACTCTCGCCTTCGCACATGCGACAAATTGCTACCAACTCTTCATAATGCGTTTAAAACCATAGTACAAGTTTCACACAGAAAAACGACCTAAATATATCATTTCTAGTAATCATTATCATCGCGGGGGAGGGGTATATTACAGAGGAGATATTGTTTTTTACAATTCAGCGAGTCACGAGTTCAAAAGAATTGGATTTGTGATTTTTCTTTACTTTTCCTGCAAAATATTTGACTCAAGCGATGCAAAATAAAAACAAATCTTTGAGACACCAGAGGGCAGCAATTTGGACGGGATCGTAAGAAGGTATTCGCTGATATGTAATGTGCAAAAAAAGTATTTGAGAGACTTTACTTATTAAGCTATTGACGACGATATGGACCACCGGTGGCCCACGCACTTTTGCCGCCAGTGACGATGTGGAAAACCATTGGCCCACACCCCTTGCAAAATCATATTCTTTCCAGGTCTAGTATTTTTTCCATAGTTCAGCATTTTTCCCAAATTTTGCACTTTTGGAACCTGTGGACTTTCCGTACAAAAAGATGGCTGTAGTTGTCCACAAAAAATGTTTACATTTCGTAAAACAAAATAAAATACAAAACATCCCCCAAAAAGTGCTGTGCAAAATCGCGTCGTCCTACAGAGCCGCCACGCAAAATTAAGCGTCCTCGTCAATGGGTTAAGAAATCATAGAATTAGCGCATGAAATCTTTCAGACTGGCGCTTTGCATTTTTGCTTTTTATTTCTACATTTTTTTGTCTGAACAGCATTTGTATTAAATGATGACCGCAGCGCATAATATTTGAAAATTTGCGCTTCTTGGCTATTTTTACGCGAAAATGTTGTGGCTACCGCAAAAGCACCCATTTATCAGCCAAAATGCTATGTAAGTGGAATTTCTAAGTAAGAATAACAGCGCTTCAGAAAATTTCACATCACAGACCTTACCTTTCTGCATTAGTAGTTGAAGCAAGTCATTTACATTCACTATTTCCATTTGATACTCGATTTTTTACGAAAAAAAGTTTTCACTGAGCTCCAATCTCATGTGCTACAAAAATTTCTGGCTTCAGATATCCAAAAGTTTCAAAGTGATGTGAAGACGGAAAAAATCTGGCTCACTTCTAAGAATAACGTTGGAAAAAATATGGGATCGTATTTCGCGTTAGATATAAAAAATACCTAAGATTAAATTTCATCATTCCTAAATTTCATCAATTCGTCAAGCTGCTGCTATAAATATTTTTGTCTTCTACTAGTGAGGAATCAGAAAAAGCAGACATGACGCAAAAGAAATTTGGAAAAACCCCGTCAACCATTATTTCTCTTCCCACGCCTCCCCTCTTTGCCCTTCTCAGTTTTTTACTCATCTTTATTTGTCTGAAATTTGGAAAAAAAACTATGGTTGGCAAGCTATTTTGGTATTTCTCCTTGCTTCGTAAAGAAAAGGAGAACTCGCGTTTTTCAAATGCCCGGCATTTTCTGTAAAGAAGCGTGGAGGGGGGGGGGGAATATTAAGCAAATTTTTGCTTACCTGTGCTGTTTATTCGTAAAAAATATAACAAATACAAAGCTATTGAAGACAATGCTGATGATAGAGATGGTGATTCCAAACACCACCGCCAGCCAGAATCGGGGCACCAGCAAATAGGGATCGCCCACATTACAGTCTGGGGATACGGTAGCCGAGAATACTGTAGCCAGGGTTGACGTCATTTCGATGAGCGTTTCGTTATCCATGACGAAGAACAGCTGAACTTCAAATAGTACAGAAACAAGTTGGTTTTTTCTTCAGAATTAGACGACCGGAAGCATGCCCGATGTCGTCGGGGGTCGGCGCTAGGGGTTGGCCCTGAAATTGGCCCGCTATTCACACTAGCAACTCAGTTGCTGAATCGCGAACGGAAATCCCGGCTATTCAAACATACACACACGCGACGGATAGGATTAGAATGCGGAAAAAATTCGTGCATAAGAAGAAAGCCAGAAAAGAAAACAAATTTTGAAAACAAATTGGAAACAGAAGAGGCAAAGAAAGAGCTAATATAACCCGCAAAACTGAGTGATTGATTGAAAAATGGTAAAGATGGACAAATGTATAACGAAATGTTTAGTGTACTTGGATTAAGGCAACCTGAGGAAAAAATGAGAACATGGCAATGAGGCAACATCGTGTGAAAGAGAAAGCATTATGAGAATTCATAATTAGACAAAAAAGAGCGTTGTCCGGCAAAATTGACTTTCAGATAATTTATGAATCTATCAGTCAAATTGGCATTTGTGCTTTTCTGAGTTATACGAGATTACGAGACATTCAGAAGATCAAAATTGTAATCATTTTTTATAGACTTTATTCTAAATTAATTTCTGATATGACTCCACGTTTTAACATCAGATAAGGAAGAAATAATTGTTTGATTTCTGACTAATTTTCAATTTTACATACATTTTATGCCTGTAAAAGTTGTTCAATTATGAATAGCCTTCCGGGAATTCAGACATCTCCAAGAGCAAGTTTTGGAAGCTTAAAATCATATTATGGAAGCATTGCCATCAGTATGAGTACACATTTATTGAATAAAGCATACATAGGTAATCAAGTTCGTGGTACCATTAAAATGGAAGAATTCTGTACCGTTTAAAATATTAGAAAAACTAACAATTATCTTACATGTTGGGAAAGATATTATATCATATTGGAGCATAAGTCCTGCACCAAAAATTTTTGAAAAATTCAGATAATTGCCTGTGTGGTCTTTGAAGCTGCATGATAATTTTTTTGTTGTTCGTAAATTATGTACTATTTTACCATAGAGTTAGAAATTATTCCCGACAAAATCAAAATTCGGAAAAAGAGATTAGCAACATGGCTCGGCACAGCTGGTACCAGGTCAGGCTGGATATCGTTTTTGGGCGAAAAGATACAAAAATTGTGACGTTTTTTTAGTTGACGTTCGTTTTTTTTGGAGGTTTTTTTAGGTTAGTTAAGGTCAAAGGGGACTTTGTCCCCCACAATGGTCGGTCGCCTCATCGTGGCGTGGGGGTGACACTGGGTGTCGAACTGCGATGCACAGCCGAGTGTATACTCTGGCAGGGCCTCCCAAGCTGTGAAGGAGTTCGACGTTTCCGGTTTCGGCCGGATGCCTAGCTAAGAACTGGCCGCGCCAGATTCTCCGCCGTCTGGCTTCTTCTGGTCGCTAGGCGGTCCCTCCCCGCTCCAAGCCCGGGGTCAGCGATCACCCCGTGGAAATCAAGAGTAGGCCTAGTAAGCCACCTCTTGTAGGGGAACAAATTTTATTACTCAGACAGCAAGAAGATTTAGAAAAAACCCTGTACATCGGATCCCGCCTACGGCGCCGGGTGGTAGCAAGAACGATGTCAGGGTACTCAGGGCGCCTTTCGGATTGGACAAAAACGACACGTCTGCCCGGACGACACGCCATGGAGACTGCCTCATGCTCTGCACTTACAACGCCAGGACAGTCTCCACAAACGCCGACCTCCACGCTCTTCTCGACGCTGCAGAGCACATCAACTACCACATCATTGCTCTGCAGGAAACGAAGTCCAGGAAGAAGGACGTGCGACAGATGAGTGATGGGACCCTCATCATTCGTGGTGAAAAGGTTCCATCACGAAACGTGGGAGGCGTCGGCTTTGTCGTCCACCCATCTATCGTCCATCTTGTCGATTCGCACGAGATCCTATCACCTCGACTAGGCATCCTACGACTACGACCTCCACATCAGAAGACCATCAGCATCATCAACTGCTATTCTCCAACATCAGCAGCTGACGAATCAGAACTAGATGCTTTCTACGAAGATGTGGAGGAGGTCGTCCGCAACGAGAAGTCCTTTTACAAGTTTGTTGTGGGCGACTTCAACGCGAAAATCGGGATGCCACTGGAAAGGGAATATAGGATCGGGAAGTTTGGATATGGGCTCCGGAACGAAAACGGCAACCGTCTTGTTGGGCTTCTCTCCGCCGCACGACTTTTCCATGGAAATTCCATCTTTATGAAGAAGGAACATCGCCGGTGGACATGGGAATCGCCCAACGGAACGACCCACGCGGAGATCGACCACATTCTCACCAACCGAAGGTGGAGCTTACTCGATGTCTCTGTAGTTCCATCCTTCTGTAGTGGCTCCGATCACCGCCTCCTTCGAGCGAAGATACGACTCAGCCGAAGGCTGGAAAAGAAAGTCTGTCATAGTGCCGCGAGAAGGAAGGAAGTCGTTTATGACGGTAACAGGCTGGAAGAGCTCATATCAAGTTGTGACTGGCCCATCGAGGAGGACCCAACGTACGACTACGATCGGCTTCTGAAAGGATTGCGAGCCTGCGGAGAATGCGCCTCAGTGACTTCTGAGAAGAACTTGGACCGCATCTCGAAGACCACCAAGGAATTGCTCGAAAGAAGAAGATCGTTGAGGCAGGATCCGAATGCAACTCATCTCGAGCGACTGATTGCCAACACCAGTTGCAGAACAGCTTTGCAAGAGGATCTCAGGAAGTACAGGCAAGCCAAGATACTGGAAGCAGCAGAAAGAAGACGAAGTCTCAAGAAGTGCCGAAGGGACCTCTGCGAATATCACGTACCGCTGGCTGCACTACTGAACGAAGACGGGACTCCGACTTCTTCCCGATACAAGATGGAATCTATCGCGAAGAACTTCTACACCAACCTCTTCCGCTCATCAACACCCGTGCAGATGCCCGTTGTTCCCACTGGAGAAGTACCACCACGAATTCTACCTGCTGAAGTGCGTATCGCGATACAGACCATGAAGACGTCCACGGCTCCAGGACCAGATCATCTTTCCGTCGAACTTCTGCGAGCCGGAGGACACCGTCTACACGAGATTCTAGCGTCGCATTTGACATCTTACCTTCAGAAGGAGAAGATTCCCGACCAGTGGAGAACGTCAAGAACCGTCCTTCTCTTCAAGAAGGGTGAACGGGAGGATCTTCGGAACTATCGTCCAATATGCTTGCTGAGTGTGCTGTACAAACTTTTCACGAAGATTATCCTCGCTCGCATATCAAGGACACTGGATGAAGCCCAACCCCAAGAACAAGCTGGATTTCGCAAAGGATTCAGCTGCATGGACCACATCCAGACCGTTTCGAGGGTCATAGAAGTCTGCCGGGAATACCGACTGCCTCTCGTCCTAACCTTTGTCGACTACGAGAAAGCCTTTGACAGCGTCGAAACCAACGCCATCCTGTCTGCGCTAGTCGATCAAGGAGTGGACCCAGCTTACGTGAGGACAGTAGCCGACTGCTACAAGGACTGTACAACGACGATGCAGCTATTCCATCGCCCCCTGACCATACCAATCGGGAAGGGGGTCCGACAAGGCGACACAATCTCGCCGAAGCTGTTCACCGCGGCCTTGCAGTGGGTGATGAAGTCACTGGACTGGGACGAGAGAGGCATACGAGTTGATGGGAGATTCCTGTCCAACCTTCGTTTTGCGGACGACATCGTTCTCTTCTCGAGCAGTATCACCGAAGCAGAGACGATGCTGAAGGAACTAAACGAAGTAGGGAAGAAGATCGGACTGCGAATAAATCGGAAGAAGACTCAGTTCATGAAGAACGCCCTTTGCGAAGATGCAGAAATGGAATTGGAAGGCACCCCGATTATGGAGACGTCTTCCTACGTGTATCTCGGACGTTCGATGAACATGGAGAACGACTTGAGGGAAGAACTCAACAGGAGAAGAAGAGCAGCCTGGGCCGCCTTCGGGCCCCTGAAGGAAGCCACCGACCAACTGACGGACCCGGAGCTTCGTGCCCACCTGTTCGACTCAACCGTTCTCCCGGCGCTCTGTTACGCAGCTGAGACTTGGGCCGACACTGTAGCCACGTCGAAAGCTCTACGGACCACCCACAGAGCGCTCGAGCGCAGTCTTCTGAAGATGACCCGACGCAAGCAACATCTAGTCGGACTTCGCAGCACGGATATGAGAAGAATGTCCCGTCTTCGTGACCCAGCGGAATACGTCGCGAAAGCCAAACACCGATGGGCCGGTCACATAATGAGAAGAACAGACGACAGATGGACACTAAGAACATCGGAGTGGATTCCTCGCGAAGCCAAACGTCCCCGAGGAAGACCTCCAACGAGATGGGCAGACGTGTTCGTGGAACGGATGGACCAGCTGAGAAATCAGCTGGATACGATTTTTGCACCTGGAACTCGTGGACGCAGCCACCGACGTCAGCCAAGAAGATCGTGGATGTCAGAAGCGAGGGACAGGGAAAAATGGAAACTTCTGAGCTGGGGCCCGCACGTCACGTGAAGCCGGGCCATCTAAGTATCTAAGTAAGTAAGTAAAGGGGACTTTGTACAGAATTTTCACGATCAATGGGGACTTCATTTTGGAATTTCCCGGTGCCAGCTCGCACTGAGCCCTGACTAGAAATTACGTTTCGTACAGGACACTCGACCAGTACATACAAATTCATATAATCTAAGAAAATAAATGTTAAAATACAAATCAAAAGTGATATCGAAAGTTGCTATATGTAACAACATATGCAAAGACCAAAATTCAAAAGGATACAATTACTACTTACAACTATGTTACAAATGCAATATTTGCTTCAGAAATTACTAGGATGGCGCATTTTCCTCTAAATTACATCGTATTGAAAGAATTTTTTCTGAATTAACCTACGTATATAAGACTGTAAAATTATATTGCAAGATTTACATATAAGAATAG